AGCTGATAACAATGACTTTAAAATGTTATATTTTTTAAATGTAACCTTTTTATTTAGCCCATCATTTAATGGCCTTTTTGAAATCTTCTTCTTCTATTCATATGCATTGTTGTTATTTTCTAATGGGGTGAATTATAAAAAAAAAAATTCTATAATGTTTCCTCTTTTAACATGTATTCACTTATATAAACCCTAGTTGAAAGTATTGGTGAAGAAGTAACAATTATAAGCGTTTTGCTATTTAATAATGGAGATGTACTTCATTAATGTGAGTGCATAAGATACAGAAATATAATTAACTTAAAAACCTTAGCTTATATAAAGCAAATGGTCCTCACACACTTAATCATTTAATTTTGCAATCACAAATCTCCTTATCACACATCTTTATATTTAAATTATGAAATAGATTTTTAAATATTTAAACTCTTTTATATCATTAAAATACTTACAAATTCTTAATTTCTATCAAATAAAACTAATAATCTTTAATTTTTTAGTTTTACATAAAATAACCTAAAAGTTCTCAATTACTCACGCTTTTTTATTGAACTTTTATTTTTAATCTTCGAGTCTAGGGTTTTTGGGGAGCTAGGTAGGGCATCAAAGGCTCCGCCTGGGCGTGGAAGGGCAGCGATGAGCGTCTGGAATTACGTCGTCACTGCGCACAAGCCAACCAATGTGACGCACTCGTGCGTTGGAAATTTCACGAGCCCCCACGAGCTCAATCTCATCATCGCGTAAGTCCCTGTTTAGCTCCTCTTGCGCTTCTCCTCTCACTCAATCATTTCCTCCAGAAAATGTACACGGATTGAATTTCACTTGCTCACAGCTCAAGGTCTCCAGGTACTCTTTCACGCCTGCTCTTTGTTTTTCGTTTAGTTCTAAGTGTCTCTCGTTCTCCTCCAGCCTCTTTTGGACGTGCCAATCTATGGCCGGATTGCAACCTTGGAGCTCTTCAGGCCTCCGGTATGAATCTTTCTCGTCTCGGATCTTTTCTCATTTTCTCGCACCACAGGGAGAGACCCAGGATGTCCTGTTCGTCTCCACGGAGAGATACAAGTTTTGTGTCTTACAATGGGATTCGGAGACGACGGAACTTGTCACGAGGTTACCTTGAGTTTTTCAAGAGCAAGTCTCATTTTTGTTTCCTGTTTGGACAGGGCAATGGGTGACGTTTCAGATCGAATTGGTCGGCCGACGGATAATGGACAGGTTGCAGTGTAACTCTCTGAGTTCTATATGACGCATCGTGTTTTTTTTTTTTTTTTTTGTCTTTCAGATCGGCATTGTTGATCCAGAGTGTAGGCTGATTGGTCTTCACCTCTACGATGGCTTGTTCAAAGTAAACTTGTTTCAGCGCTACTTCTGATAGCTGACCGTGATTGTGGTTGCCTGGATAAAGGTAATACCGATCGACAACAAAGGACAGCTGAAAGAGGCGTTTAACATCAGGTAAGAATGTTTTTCCTGTGTGCAACGCTTAGGATTGTCAATCTTAGGCTGGAAGAACTGCAAGTGCTGGACATAAAGTTCCTGTATGGCTGCTCGAAACCAACAATTGCTGTCCTTTACCAGGTTCGGTTTCCTTCAATATCCTTTTAGGAAAAAACTTGGCGAATGTTTGCTTCATTTGACAGGACAACAAAGATGCTCGTCACGTCAAAACATACGAGATACAACTGAAAGAGAAGGATTTTGGTGAGGGGCCATGGTTGCAGAATAACCTCGACAATGGAGCCGGTATGCTTATTCCCGTGCCAACACCCCTTGGTGGCGTTATAATAATTGGTGAGCAAACCATCGTTTACTACAGCGGTTCAGCATTCAAGGCTATTCCCATCCGGCCTGTAAGTTGTAAAGCGAGCAAGGTTTACAGCAACTGATATTGTATGTTGCAGTCAATCACGAAAGCATATGGGAAAGTGGATGCTGATGGATCACGGTATTTGCTCAGTGATCATACTGGATCGCTACATTTGCTTGTGATCACTCACGAGAGGGACAGGTTTGAAGACGAGCTAGATTTTCTTATGGTATCAAATTTCTTGATACAGGGTACTGGGTTTGAAAGTTGAACTGCTCGGGGAGACCTCCGCTGCATCAAGTCTTTCCTACCTTGACAACGGGGTTGTTTATGTTGGCTCCAGCTACGGGGATTCACAGGTGAGTCGACAGGATTTTTCTCGTTTTAAAAATTCTGAAGTGGTTGTGATGCTGCAGCTCATAAAACTGAACGCGCAAGTAGACTCAAGAAACTCTTATGTGGAGGTTCTAGAGAGTTTTGTCAATCTTGGGCCAATTGTCGATCTCTGCGTAGTGGACCTGGAGAGGCAAGGTCAAGGGCAAGTAGTGACGTGCTCTGGTGCATACAAGGATGGATCCTTGCGTATTGTCAGAAATGGTATCGGCATCAACGAGCAGGTAATGCTTTCCGCTATGGTTCCCTGTTCTAACCTTGCTGATATCATAGGCCTCTGCTGAGCTTCAAGGTATTAAAGGCATGTGGTCTTTACGAGCCACGTCCAAGGATGTCTTTGACATATTCCTGGTGGTCAGTTTCATCAGCGAGACAAGAATCCTGGCCATGAATATGGATGATGAACTCGAGGAAACTGAGATTGAAGGTTTTGATTCCGAAGCACAAACTCTCTTCTGCCATAACGCTATTCACGACCAGATTATTCAGGTACGAGATTCTAGACACCGCTGGATGGAATTTACTGGGATTTTTTATGCAGGTAACTTCGACTTCTTTGAGGCTGGTTGATGCCACTTCTCGACGGCAATTGACGGAGTGGAGAACTCCGTCTGGAGTTGCAATAAACGTGGCCACAGCCAATGCTTCGCAGGTATTGTGCAGTTAATCCATGTATGTACAACCAGCTTTGTTTAACAGGTTCTTCTCGCGACTGGTGGTGGAAATCTTGTTTATATTGAAATCGGTCGCGGGTCTCTGACGGAAGTGAAGCACGTACAACTCCAGAATGAGATATCGTGTCTGGATATAAATCCGATTGGTACCGATCCCGATCGTAGCAATATAGCAGCGGTGGGAATGTGGACGGATATCAGTGTGCAAGTTTTTTCTTTACCCAACCTTGAGGTTTTGGCGAAAGAAAGTCTCGGCGGTGAAATTATACCACGCTCGGTTTTAATATGTGCATTTGAAGGAGTAAGTTCACAGGACTTTTCTTGCAAACCAGACACTAACTCTCTCTGGCAGGTCTCATATTTGCTTTGCGCTTTAGGAGACGGCCATCTTTTCAATTTTCTGATCGACACCAGTACCGGTCAACTTTCCGACAGAAAAAAGATTTCCTTGGGCACACAGCCGATCATGCTCCGGACTTTCAGATCTAAGAATGCAACTCATGTGTTTGCGGCGTCGGATCGGCCTACGGTCATTTACAGTAGCAACAAGAAGCTGCTTTACAGCAACGTGAATCTGAAGGAGGTGAATCACATGTGTCCTTTCAACTCTGCATCTTTTCCCGACAGGTCTGTTTCTAGTTCTCTTTTGTGAGCTCTATTAACAAGCTTTTGTTTGTCGTAATCAGCCTGGCAATTGGAAAGGAGGGAGAGCTCACAATCGGAACGATTGATGATATCCAGAAGCTACATATACGCACGGTGGCACTTGGGGAACACCCTCGCAGGATCTGTCACCAGGAGCAGACTCGGACGTTTGGCCTTTGCACCGCAAGGTTTTATAGCAACCCAAACGGGGAGGATCACGAAAGCCATTTCGTAAAGTTGCTGGACGACCAGACCTTCGAAGTTTTAGGCTCGTATAACCTGGACACATTCGAGAACGGCTGCACGATCATTACGTGCAGCTTCACTGATGACCCGGCTACGTATTACTGCGTTGGAACAGCCTATGCTCTACCCGAGGAAAACGAACCAAGCAAGGTACGAAGCAAATGCTTTTCCTAAAGGTCTCTGCTGAGCTTCTTCTTTGCTTCTCTAGGGACGTATATTGATCTTCACTGTAGAAGATGGCAAGTTCCAACTCGTTACTGAGAAGGAAACGAAAGGAGCTGTGTACAATCTAAACGCCTTCAACGGGAAGCTCCTAGCGGGCATCAACCAGAAAATCCAGCTCTACAAATGGACACAGCGGGATAGCACTCGGGAGCTTCAGTCGGAGTGCGGTCACCACGGCCACATCCTAGCACTCTACGTGCAATCTCGCGGAGATTTCATCGTCGTGGGCGATCTCATGAAGAGCATATCGCTACTTCTCTACAAGGTATGCTCTTTGTACAGAGTGTTTTCTTGCTTATGGACTGTTTACTACTTCACAGCCGGAGGAAGGAGCGATCGAAGAACGCGCGCGGGATTACAACGCAAACTGGATGACTGCTGTGGAGATCCTGGACGACGACATCTACCTCGGAGCCGAGAACAGCTTCAACCTCTTCACGGTGAGGAAGAACAGCGACGCTGCGACGGACGAGGAGAGAGGCCGGCTGGAAGTGGTGGGAGAGTACCACCTTGGCGAGTTTGTCAACCGGTTCCGGCATGGCTCGCTGGTGATGCGCTTGCCGGACAACGAGACGAGCCAGATCCCGACTGTGATCTTCGGCACCGTCAACGGAGTGATCGGAGTGGTGGCCTCGCTCCAGCAAGAACAGTTCAACTTCCTCCAGCGGCTCCAGCACTGCCTGGCCAAGGTGATCAAAGGCGTCGGGGGGCTGAGCCACGAGCAGTGGCGATCGTTTAGCAGCGAGAGGAAGAACGCCGACGCCAAGAACTTCCTCGACGGCGATCTCATCGAGTCGTTCCTGGATTTAAACCGGGCCAAGATGGACGAAGTCTCGGCGGCCATGAGCGTGTCCGTGGAAGAGCTTTGCAAGCGTGTAGAGGAGATGACGAGGTTACACTGAGAAGAGTGTGCTGTGAGAGAGGACTTTTATACTGTTGTAAAAATGGTTTTTACTTCAAGTAACTTTATTTACCTGATGATTATTGTTGTTCTTCCTTTTAGGGTTTCTGGCTAGAGGACGAGAAATGGAGAGCGAGCAATGCTTGGCTTGTCCGATTGCGTGCTTCGGCAGCGACCGCTGCGGCGATGTAGCTGAGGTAATCTTTGCATCGCATTTCATTATCCAGCTATGCGATCCATATTTCCTAGGCGCTGGTATTTTGTCCTCATTCCTTCTTGCGTGGCCGATGCATTCTCTAGGAATTTCTAGGCTTTGGATTTCTTGCGCTAGGATTTCTTCCTTCGGAGGAGAATGAGTGTCTGGTTGATTTGTGTAGTTTTTCTTCTGCTGGATCGCGGGGAAGCTGACACGAATGCGAAGGATAGTAAGTTTTCGTGTTTTTTCTTTTCCTTTCTTTTCTTTGTTGAGCTTATGCCCATGTTGTGTTCCAGCTGAAGCACTCCGGGGCTTCCAACGGGGTGTTCAAGACCCATTGTCTAAGCTTGAGAGCTGGAAAGGCGATGATCCTTGTGGACAGGGCTGGGAGGGGATTATTTGTGCTCCAGATGCTGCGGGAGTCAATCACGTAACGGAGATGTAAGAGCTCGTTGATCGTTTGTTCTTTCTTTGATTGTTTGATTTTTCCTTGAACAGCCATTTGCTAAACTCGAACTTTTCGGGAGTTCTTTCTCCTGATATTGGATCCCTGAGCTCTCTCAAAGCATTGTAAGCAACCTCTTGTGCTGCTGGACATCACTCACTGGCTTTTGTGTTTTCTCGCTAGGGACCTTATGTGGAACAGTCTGAGTGGAAGCATTCCTCCATCTATCGGGAATCTGTTGTCGCTGGAGCTTTTGTAAGTTGTCCTCGTTTTCGCTGTTCCTCGAATAAATTTCTTTTCTTCGTAGGCTTCTTAACGGGAATTCTTTCACTGGTCATCTTCCGGATGAAATTGGAAACCTTGTGAACCTTGATCGGCTTCAAGTTGATCAAAACAAATTTTCGGGGCCGATTCCATCAACCTTGACAAAGCTAGTTAATGCAAAGCACCTGTAAGCGTCAGACACTGCCAGGATAATGTTTTAAGCCTTCCACTTTTCAGGCACATGAACGACAATGCCTTTGACGGCAGTATTCCATCTGGTTTGGGAAGGATACCCGCAATCCATATGTACGTGTCCTGATTTTCCTGTTTAAGTCGAACTGATATTTTGGTAGCGAAGACTTTTAGATAACAATAATTTAACTGGGAAGCTTCCACCCGACATTGGCAACATATCGCAACTCCAGATACTGTATACAGACTCGATGCATAGTCATAAACTGATCCTCCTCTGTTACAGGCAGTTGGACAACAATCCTTTTGATGCACAGGAGATTCCGAGCACGTATACGACGTCGCTTGTACAGCTTATCAAGCTGTAAGTTGATGAACGATGGTGTTGTGCTCGATTCAAGTCTTACCTTACAGGAGCATGAAAAACTGCAACTTGCGAGGATCGATGCCCGATCTCTCTGCACTCACCAAGCTACAGTCTCTGTGAGTGGCAGAATTAAGCATGCAGTTCTTTTTACAGATTCGTCCTTTTTCCGGCAGGGATTTGAGCAAAAATCAAATGGACGGAGTCTTTCCGAACATGAGTTTGCCCTCGCTAATAACGATGTAAGATGCACTGGAAAATCCGCCCTTTAACAGTTTGGTTGACAGAGATCTCTCAAATAATCAGTTTACTGGCGACATTCCAGTCGAAGCTGCGGGCATCGAGACTCTAGAATTGATGTGAGTCACTGCGTTCTCTTGGTAGCTTACACTTCGTGGAAAATCCAGGTCTTTACAGAGCAATCTCTTGAATGGTTCTCTGGATCAGCTTTTAATCACCCTCCGTGGTAGAACGAGCGACAAATTACTTGTGCTGTATGTACTTCAGTTTTTGCTATCCAACTCGTCTAATCGTCTACTGTAATCACGACAGGGATCTCCAAGGGAACTCGCTGACTGTATCATCGTTCCCGAGTTTTAGTTTCTCCAGCAATATCAAACTTTGGTACTGTGCCATGTTGGCCGTGCGGATCTACTTACCTACAGTTTATACTTGTTGCAGGGTCTTTGGAAACGCGCAAGTGTGCGTCTGGCAGGCCGCATTCAAGTTTTGCGAGCATCAGAGCCTCGATAATGTACCTGACCACGGGCCATCTGATAGCAGCAACATCAATAACTGCGCGAAGGACATCTGTAATCCTGACATTGACGAACTTGTCCCCGGTTTGGCAGCCGATGGTAATTGCAAGTGTGCTTCTCCGATTCGGGTCCTTGTTCGTTTGAAGAGTCCGGGCTTCCGCTTCTTTGAACCGCATCTTCGAGCTTACGAGAAGTACATGGCTGCTGGATTGGGAGTGTCGCATCTTTCGGTGACCTCGTATTCCTGGGCCGGGCAGAGACTCCTCGTGAAGCTGAGTATATTTCCTTCAATGCTAGGTGATGATCGAAGGTTCAATCAACCAGAGGTGAAAAGAATCTTTCTTGCTTTCACGGAGTGGTCAATCCCTGATAATGCCTTATTTGGGCCAAGAGAGCTCCTCAGCTTCGATCCTCCTTATGGGATTGGTAAGTGTTCTGTTTCTTTCTTTCTTTGCTGTAACACTTAGTTTGTTTGTTTTGTTTTCTTACAGAACTTTTTACGAGTGGAATTTTACCTTCGAGAAAGAAATTTTTCGCCAGTGCTATTCCCGTCTTTGTTGGTGTTCTTGTTGGAGTTGTAGGCTTCGTTGCTACCGTTCTAATCTGTTTTGTTCAGAAACTCAAGGACGACCAAAATAACTGTAAGTCTTCTGCATCTTCTATGTTTTAGCTCTGAGATGTGTACCATTGCTTGCAGCGTGGAAGAAGAGAAGGAACCTATCTTTCAAAGTTGAAGGCGTCACAAGCTTCACATGGGAGGAGATGGATAGAGCCACAGAATCCTTTCACGAATCTAACCAGATTGGTCAGGGTGGCTATGGAAAAGTTTACAGAGGAGTTCTGGACGACGGGACTGTTGTTGCTATCAAGCGTGCTGAGGAGGCCTCTCGAAACGGAACCAATGAGTTTCACAATGAAATACAGTTGCTGTCGAGACTTCATCATCGAAATCTGGTTTCGCTTATTGGCTACTATGTGGACGACGACGAACAGGTAGGCCGGAAATCTAGAACTGACGGCTCGATCACTGGGTCTTCATTGCGACAGATGCTCGTGTATGAATTCATGAGTGGAGGAACTTTACGGGATCATCTATCACGTACGTTTTTCTGCAATTGGCTTGACTTCTATCCTTTTTTGACATTGTCTGCTCTTACAGCGACATTTACAAGACCGCTGAATGTCAGGTCTCGCTTGGTTATAGCTTTGGGCGCGGCAAGAGGCATACTGTATCTTCACACGGAAGCTAACCCTCCCATTTTTCATCGCGATATTAAATCGACCAACATTCTTTTGGACGAGAAGAACAATCCGAAGGTTGCTGATTTTGGCCTTTCCAAGCTTGCACCTGTTTCAGACGCTGACGGACTGTCAGGACACGTTTCAACAGTTGTGAGAGGCACACCGGTAAGTATTAATTTTCAAACTCAGGCTGTCTTTTACGAGCCATTTCCATGGTTTGAGCAGGGGTACCTGGATCCAGAATACTTTCTGACCCATAAGCTGACAGACAAGAGCGACGTTTACAGCTTTGGTGTGGTGCTGCTGGAGCTCCTAACGGGAATGCCACCAATCTCTCATGGAAAAAACATTGTCCGAGAGGTGAAAGACCGTGTTTCTGTTTGGGAGATTGACTTTTCTTTGTTTAATGCAGGTGAGATTGGCATTCGAGGCGGGAATGATTCTGAACGTGGTAGATTCCCGCATGGGACCACTCGCTTCCGAGCTGCTAGAACGGTTCGTGCGGCTAGCGTTGGCCTGCTCGAGCGACGAGCCACAGGCTCGTCCTTCAATGTCCGACGTCGTACGCGATCTAGAGGCCCTTCGTCTCGCTGCAACCAGGCCTGACTCCCTAGCTGATAGCGAGCCAGGAAGTTCTTTCAGGAGATTGGACAGCAGTATCGTGCTGTCGGAGAAGCTGGCGGAGAACGATGACTCGCAGTGCATCGGAGTGGTTCTTCCTAGATAGTAAGCTTTTCAAGTTGATAGCTTCTTTCAGCTCACGCTCCAACGGCTTTTCAGGTGATAAATTGGAATAATCTCTCATACGGAAGTTTTGTACTTTGCACTGCATGAAGTAAGATGCGACAAAATGGCTGATTTGTCCAGAATCTTCTGGCTAAACACTGTTTTCGCTACAGTTCTTTCTTTCTGCCTTTAGCCTCTTTGACAGAAAATCTTTGGGCTCGGGAGGTCCCAGAAAAGAAACCGACTGTTCTGACAATTTCTAACAGGATCTTATCCCGCATATTCACTGGTGAAGTCAAGCACTAGGCCGCAAGGGCGCCAGGCGGTATGGAAGAGCTCAAAGACGCGCCTACAGGTATGCCTTCAGCATCAAATTTGCAATTCACAGTTTACTCTTCTCAAAGAAAATTATGTCTTGGCAGCTGAGATTTTGCTCCTACTTCCTCAATTGAAGCTCAAGCACGGCAAGAACTAGTTCGACGTCATGGCAGCTGAAACGTTCTTCAAGATTTTCCTGCTGCCCTTTGCTCTTGCGGCATTAATGCCCTCTGCCGCTGCAGCTAATACAGATCCAGGAGATGGTAAGCAGATTACGATTGACGCTATAGTAATTTGCTGACTGTTGTCGCTTCTCTGTGTCCAAGTCCGAGCGTTAAACGCGTTACATAAGAGTCTTAAAGACACCGCTGGAAGGCTGCAGTCCTGGAATAATGGAGACCCTTGCAATGACTACTGGGAAGGCATCATATGCAGCGATTCGGATCTCTCAAACAGGACGAGTCGATCGGTGCTTGAAATGTAAAAAGTGCTTTGCTTTCTTGTTAATAGTTTTAACTTTTTCTCTTTTTCTTTTCTTCTGCGTCAGTCACTTGATGAACTGTAATCTAACGGGAACTATAGCTCCGGAAGTCGGCGACATGGCCAACCTTCAAATCTTGTATGCTTGCTGTTACGTTTCTTAATTATAATCTGGTTGTTTTCTCGAGCAGAAACCTCATGTGGAACGGTATAACTGGAACCATACCCGCCAATCTTGGCAATGCTGGAAACCTCGAGTTGCTGTAAGCTTAGCGGTTGAATCATTACTCTTCTCTCTTGAACATGTTTGCTGGACAGATTGTTGAATGGCAACAAGTTAACCGGGACAATTCCTGAAGAAATTGGCAATCTGATGAAATTGAACCGGTTCCAGATTGACGAGAACCAAATCTCAGGGAGTATACCCTCTACGTTTGGCAATCTTGTTTCCATAAAGCACCTGTAAGGGAGTCTCTTGTGCTTCTAAGTTCTGAAAAGATCATCTTTACCAGGCATATGAACAATAACTCTTTGACCGGTATCATTCCTCCTGAACTAGGCCGGCTTCCAACTCTCTTCCACATGTAATTCTTGTTTTCTTTTGTGTGTGTGTGTATTCATCTTGTATATTGTTCTCTCTGCAGTCTCGCAGACAATAACAATCTCAGCGGACCGCTGCCTGCGGAACTGTCAAACGTCGCGAGCATGCAAATCATGTGAGTTTCTCGATGTTTTATCGGAGCTGATGCCTTGTTCTCGACTCAGTCAGCTTGACAACAACAACTTTGGCAATGCATCAGTTCCTCCATCATATGTCCAGATGAAAAAGCTTTTGAAATTGTATGTCTCGTGATTTTTATTGCTTCAGTTACCCGGCCACGCATTTTGCAGGAGTATGAGAAATTGCAACCTTGGAGGAATGCTTCCTGACATCCGTGGATTTGAAAGTTTGGAATATCTGTCAGTTTCTGTTTTATCTCTGTAAGGAGCTCACCATGTTTTCTCGTTTATTCTGCAGTGACGTGAGTGGTAACAGCATGGGGGGCAATATTTCACAGTCGGTTCTACCTCCGAATGTAACAACGATGTACGTTCTCTAATCTCCTTGCTTATCCTTGATTGCTTTTTTTTTTTCCTTGGTTAGAAACCTGGCAAACAACAATTTTGGCGGACAGCTTCCTTCGTCGCTAGCTCACGGTTCCAAGCTCCAAGCCTTGTAAGCCACAGTAGTCCCTTACATTTTAATTCTTAAACTTTTTGACGGTCTTTAGGCTGCTGCAAAACAATCAGCTGAGCGGTTTAATTCCTATTGACTTCGTCAATCGTAACGTTACTTCTCAAAAGTTTATCTTGTAAGTATTGGGCTTACAAGATATCTTTGCGTCTCACACTTCCTTGCGCGGTTCTTTCGCAGAGATCTCAGGAACAACTTGCTTACTGGGTTTGACGGGGATTTTGATGGCAACGTCGATGCTAATATGTCTATCAGGTCAATATCTCCGCACAAAACGCTTATATCTAAAATGCTAGCTTTTCTTCTTTCTCAGCCTGAGCGGAAACTCGCGAGTTTGTACTCGAAACAGCCTGCCAACGCTCTGTTCCCCAGAACCTCCTGCTCTGCAGCAGATTGACACGGTTCGAGACAATGTTACGAACGTTTGCACATCGCAGACTTGTAGTACCGGAAGCGAGATGATTCCGGCCTTGGCTTATGACGGCAAGTGCAGGTGTGCTGCTCCAATTCAGGTGCAATGCCGCTTGAAGAGTCCTGGCTTCACTTTCTTCTCATTGTACCGTCAACTTTTCTCGGATTACTTGGCAAGCAATCTAAGTTTGCTACCGAGCCAGGTGTTCGTCGACCAATCTCTATGGGAACCCGGCCCGAGGCTCTTCATTCTCGTGAAAATATTTCCTCCGGCGACCACCGATGCACCTAGAGACAGGGAGTTAAACTCTTCGGAAGTTCTACGAGTTTATGAGAGGTTCGCCGGGTGGAAGATCAGAGACAGTCCGATTTTTGGCCCTCGCGAGCTGATTGCATTCATTGCCCCTGGCAACATAGGTACGAACCATTTTTTAAAGTGTTCTCCTGCTAAAGCCTGGGTTGTTTCCGATCAGACATTTTTGGATCTAGCTCTGGAGGCAAAAAGAAACACTTTTCCAAGGCTGTCCTCGCTGGAGTTTTGGTTGGTGCTGTCCTAGCCACTGCACTAGTCGTGGGATTCAGTGCCTTTAAGTGTGCTTCGAGGCGTCGGTTCCTGGTATCACCATCGAAGAAAAGCCTTCGTAAGCGTGAGTACGATTTAAATCCTCGAGTAGGTTCGACTGATGGTGCTTCTCCCTCTCTTTTGTATTTGGCACAGTTAGCAGAGGCACAACATCTGTCAAGATTGACAATGTGAAGGCCTTTACTTTTCATGAGATGGGAGTGGCAACGGATTCATTCAGTGAAGCACGACAAATTGGCAAAGGTGGCTACGGCAAAGTTTACAAGGGAATTTTGGACGACAAGCAAGTGGTTGCTATAAAACGGGCGGACGAGGAGTCTCATCAAGGGGAGACCGAGTTCTTCACGGAAATCGAGCTTTTATCGCGCATCCACCATCGAAACCTCGTCTCTCTCGTCGGCTTCTGTCTCGATGGCCAAGAACAGGTTCGTATGTCACGTTCTAGTAGTTTTTCATACTTAGTTCCTCTGTATACAGATGCTTGTGTATGAGTATATCGGAGGAGGGAATCTTTCTTCTCGCCTCGTTGGTAAGTTTGACGTGTTTGTTTGCAGAGATTAACTTCTTCTTGCTTCTTTCAGAAAAACCTCCATTGAACTTCAAAAGGCGTGTGTACATAGCGCTGGGAGCTGCGAGGGGCATCATGTATTTGCACACTGAAGCTGAGCCCCGGATAATTCACAGGGACATCAAAGGCACAAACATTCTCATCGGAGACAGGGACAATGCGAAAGTGGCCGACTTTGGCTTGTCAAAGCTTGCTCCGGAGGAGGACGGCGATGGCGTTTTTGGCCAGCTCTCAACCGTAGTGAAGGGAACTCCGGTAGGTTGTGCTTCTTCGCGTGAGAAAGGAGGAAAGACAGCTCCCTTTTTGTTTCATGCATGCAGGGGTACCTGGATCCTGAATACTTCCTGACACGGAAACTGAGCGACAAGAGTGACATCTACAGCTTTGGAGTTGTCATGCTGGAGCTGGTCACGGGAAGGCAAGCAATCTCGCACGGGAAAAACTTAGTCAGAGAGGTAAGCCAAGATCTCTCTTTGGTTTCCTTGTTGCATTGAGCCGGCTTGCATTTCTTTTCTTTTCGTCAGGTTCGAGGTGCTTATGAAGCTGGAGTAGCCTTGTCAATCGTGGATCCGCTCATGGGACCATATCCGTCGGAAGCCATGGAGCCATTCGTGAGGCTAGCGCTGACATGCTGCGCGGACAATCCAGACGAGCGGCCTTCCATCCGGGGGGTGGTCCGAAACTTGGAAGACATATGGAAGGCAATGGCGAGCTGGGCTTACTCGTTCGACGACGATCACAGCCAGCCACTGGGGACCAAAGCCAAGTCGGGCGGGTTTGATGTGTCCGAGGGTGATGCCGTGGCTGGATCGTCGTCGTCCGCCAGGATCGACGAGCTCGACGTACTCTCGACGAACAACATCGAGCTCGTGGCTCCAAGATAAGCTGATGGAATACTTATACTTGACATCATTGCTATGAAAATAAATCCTGGCCATTGAAGGCGATCACATTAGAATCATACGACTTAGAGAAGATCCTCCACATAAGATCCACACAAAAAAAAATCGTCGAAAAAGCCTCCACTCGGAAGATCGGGCTTAAATTATCTCTGATTCAAGCAAGAAATACATATGAGGAAAGCTTACAAATTTATTTACGTGAACATGGGTGGCAGGATTTCCTGATGTAGTACAGACAAATCCATGGTACCGTGATACATGTGGGACTCCCCCCTCCACGAATTTTAATCGCTGGAAAAATCATCACATAGTTTATGATTGTAAGAAACCATGTGAAATTTCTAGGCGCGAAACAATGGGCACAGCAGAGCTCCATCGCCATAGCGCGGCCCGATCTTCCCCGGCTTGAGCGCTCCCAGCTCCGCGAGCTTGTACCCCTTCTCGAAGCTCGGCGGGCGATACACATTGACGTTGAGCGGGCGGAGCTCCTCCGGGCGAGCTTCCGGGTTGGGGCTCCAGTCCACGTCGATGCTCCCCTTGGCCCCCGCGACGGTCCTGGGCGGCATGAAGATCGACACCATCGTGCCCGACAGGAGCTTGAGCGCCGACAGCACCGCCCACTCGACGATCGCGCGTGGCTTTGGCAGCCCGGTGGCGATCCGGATGCGCTCGCCGATGAGCGCGCAGATGCCCGTCTCCACCACCGGCTGGACGCGGCGCGGGAAGGAGTCGAGCACCAGGTGCTTGAGCTCCTGGACGATGGACTTGTTCTTCTCGTCGAATTTGGCGTACTTCTCCTCGAATTCGTCGATGTAGTCGCGCATCGCCTGGATGTTCTCCGGGATGTCTTTCAGTCCCATCCGGAGCCCAATGTCGTGCCAGAGCGTGTAGGACGCGAGCTCCTCGCGGGGCGTCCACGCCCGGAATCCAAACCTGCATTGATCAAACAACATATACATACATTGTGTGAGATCTATTCCAAGAACACCGGAAGAACACATCGAAAGAACCACTACCACTTAGTCACTTACTCGCGGCAAAAATCCATGGGCTTGACGACGTTCAAGCAGAGCACATAGACAAACTCGTGATTTGGGATCTTGAATTGGGCGTGGATGCCATTCAATCTCCTCAGCGCGTAGGATCCACGGTCGCTATCGACGTGGTGGTGGAGGAACTCGCTCACCAAGATGTTGGTCTCGGCGGCGCGCTTCTGGGGATCCTTGAGCCCATACTTGGTCTTGTACAGGAGCTTGGTGATGGAGGGAATGCCCAGGGTTTGGATGGTGCCAAACTCGAGAGCTTTCTGGGAGAGAAATGGGAACTCCACCGCATAGAGATACCACACGATCTTGTGCGCATCTCGTACGGGATCTAGAGATGCTATAAACTCTGCTCGCTGGCGCCTCAGATGGATGCAAATTCCCTTGTATACAACCAAGCCCAGCAGAGCAACACACCACAGCAGGGATCCTAGTTCCACCATAGCTTTGGATTTCCTCTCTCTCTCTCTCTCTCACTCCCAAGCTATGGGATCCTATTCAAAACAAATTACCAAGGGCCAGCATTTATATCTCCCAGTCGGAGAGAATCTGCAATCCCACGGCCAAGATCAATACCACCATAAAGACCATCCTGAAGAGTTATAAATGCGATGCGCTAGGGCCTTATAAGGTAAAAAGATGGGAACATCACGCAAGAACCCTAATTACGTCCACGTGGCTGATCAAGGAAGAGCCAAGTGTTGGTATTTTTTAATCGAGCCGCTCGGCTTGACCTCCTTTCTGGCGTATATGTTTTAAATCGCCCTTCCCTTGTCAATATTGATCGTTATAAAGATTAAATCATGAATATTCAAATATATTCTAGGATATAGCTCAATCTAACCTTTATTATGGTTTAAACTTTCTCTAATTCGTTTGGTCAAAGGGCTGGTCGTGTCCAGCTTAAACCAGCAGCCATGTGTAAGTTCAAAACTCGAATTGATAATGACCTCCAAAGTAATGTAACTGAGCTAATACATAAAATATAATCATATTAACATATAAGATTAACTTTGTCTACTTATCATAATCTATTTGTATATATCTCACAATTAAGGTATCCCCAATGCACAAGTTGCTATCAAGTGGGATTTAAAGCACCTTTATCCCATCTAAATTTCTTTATACATATCTTTATTGGATGACAAACAATCACAGTAATTGTCACTGTGGCATATTTGAACCCATCCATCTCATGTTTCTTCAGAGGTGTTGCAAGACCTTGTAAGCAATATATAAATGAATGATTGAATAAATATTTTGCAATAGTAGTGAAAGCTTACAAATAAAGAATTAAAATAAACTTTAGAATTTATATTTTCAATGCCATCAGCACTACCACTATTACTAATCTTTATACCTTCAATATTCAACCATATCAGCTTGCTACATTTATCATGATTGTTAATAACATAACATTCAAAAACAAATTTTAATTTAAGAATAAAGAAGAAGTTTTTTAAAATAAAATATCTTAAACTGAAAAATCTAGCAATTACCTCATATAGATAAAGTGATGTTAATTTTAAGCTTATGCATAAAAGCTATGGTCTTTCTTAGCTAAATTAGCTGAACAATCAACATATTTATAAGAGTAAAATAAAGAAAAAAAAATTCACCTAAAAATAATCATGAAACAAGTAGAGGTAATAAGTTTAATAATGTTACTAACATGCAACAACATGGATCTTAACTGAAAGTATATTATAACCTTGAAATTCATATCAATAAGAAATAAAATATACTTGAAAAATGTTAAGATTAATAAATAACTATGGATGTATAAAAACTATTGATTTTCTCAAATGAAGAAAAATAATAATCAATTTATATATAAAAAAATAAAAAAAAAAACATTCCTTGATATAGATCATGTATCAAGTTTTGCAAATGAATATGACAATGTCCCTAACTTAAAGCAATTTAAATCACATAGAGCTACAAAATCACTAACATACAATAATTTAATTTAAATACATTATAAAACACACACATATATAGTTAGGTTTTAAGTTAATATATTTATGCCCTTCAACATTAATAGCAAAATATAAGTGTATTATAATAAATTTTATTTTAAGATTTTTACTATTATATTTAGAAATTATAGACTACAGTATCACAAAACATTTAGTGCATTAATTATGATAATCACCAAAGTAAAGAATAATATGATAATTATCAGAATACTAACATTTTATCATCATGAATTCAAAGAGTGTAAACTGTTGTATTTAAACTTTGTGGACTAACACTACTTAAACCTAAAAAATAGTTTACTTCATGTATTTCAAAACCTTTAACCAATAAATATAAAAATGGTACATTATTTATTCATGGGATTATATATATATATATTAAAAAAAATCTAGAAGACTATCTTTCAAGCTCTTCACTTTAATTATTTAAAATGAGCTATAAAAGTGGATACATTATAATTTTTATTTATTCATTTATTTATTTATATAAGTATAAATGTTTATAGAAAATATATAGATGGGTGTGAAACTTGAGAGTGCCTTCTTTTATAATCATACTTGGCAATTAATGCACATATAAAACTAATATGTAATTATGTGATTAATTTTTTCTTTAAATCATAATCACAATATAATTATCCATCAAGTGATTAACTATAAGATGATTATATCCCTATTATATAAATGCTATGAGTAACACTAAAAGTAAAGAAGTCAATTCTTTGACTTAAATAAAGTTTTACATATGCCACAAATGATAATGAACAATCATGGATTACAAACTTTGACTAATGGATCATGCAAGTGTAGAGCTAAAGTTTTATGAAGTATTCATCCCAATATCTTTTATTCCACTTGTTTGTAGGAAAAACCTAGATGACAATTTAAACATGAGAAGGTAGAGTTGTTTTTTTATAATGAAAAATATTATTTTTTAAAAATAAAATACTTTTTAAGAAAACTAAAAAAAATAATTAGCTTATATAAATAGAGTGGTGCTAAAGTTGTGTTTATGAAAAAAAAAATCATAACCTTTCTCATCTCAAAAAAAAAGAAGAATTAACATATTTATATAAGTAAAATTAAATAATGGAGTTAATAATATTGGCAATATCTAGCAATTTAGATTTTATGAAACTAATAATATTATTAGTAGATAACAACTTGAGATATCACACCAATTTGAAATAAAATATTACAACACAAAATAAAAATAATTAATAATTAATTATGTATGAAATCTATTGTCCTTATGGATTAACACTATAGCCTTTCTTAACAGAATAAAATATTAATATATTTATAAAACTAAATATAATATATAAAGTAATTACTTTAATAAATCAGGTTTATCATTTATACTTGAAGCAATAAAAGAGTTTTTATACTGAAATTTCATGTTTGTATTATGCACCATAAGTATCAAATTATTTTGGTCATGGTTTAGAAATAATATTATTATTCTTGATTTCAACTACAATATCACTAATATATAGTAATCTGAATTAAACATATAAACATATATATGTATGTATATATGTATATATATATATATATCTGATGCACTGCAAATCCTCTCTTCATAATTTTTACCACTTGACAAATTAATTAATTTAGCATCCCACTACTTTCATATGACAAATTTAAAAGGATATAAAGTTATAATTATGCCCTATCTCTAGAGAAAATAGTAATACCTTGGTAATAAATCAATAAATCTTTACCCTTAGTTTCCGGTTAGTCGCTAGTCTTCACCTAATTAATCTACACCGCTCCAAATGTACATATAAGTAAAACGCCGGTGCTGGAGAGGAGTGGAAGCTCGCCGCCCCGCCACTTCGCTGCCATGGAGGAGGCGACAATCACTCTCGCCGCCCTTTCCACTTCGCTCCTTCTCTTGTTTCTCGCGTCCCTCGAGACCATCCGCGCAGCCGAAGCTCCTCAAGTCCCAGCATTCTTCGTCTTTGGCGATTCCCTGGTCGACTCTGGCAATAACAAGTTCCTCCAGTCGCTCTCCCAGGCCAATCACTCCCACAACGGCATCGACTTCCAGGGCAGCGTTGCAACCGGGCGCTTCTGCAATGGCCTCACCGTGACCGACGTTGTTGGTAAGCGCCGAGTAGCACTAAATAGTATCGTCAGCGCTACCATCCTCCTAACTTCCACCCTGTGCTGCCTTGTCTCCTTTCTCAACAGCCCAGGAGCTTGGACTTCCACTAGCACCGCCGTATCTGGATCCAAGCACCAACGGGACTGCCATCCTCAAAGGTGTCAACTACGCGTCCGGCGGAGCTGGTGTTCTCGACGAGACCGGGCTCTACTTCGTAAGTTTTCTTCGATCGTTCTTGCTGCTCAACCTGTTTGGTCCTTTGCCTGGCTTTCGCAGCTGCAGAGACTGCCCCTTGGAAAGCAGATTGAGTACTACGGCAACACCCGGTCCCAGATCATCGGCCTGCTCGGACAAAAGGCGGCGTACCAGATGCTCTCCAAGTCTATTTTCTGCTTTGTCATCGGCTCCAATGACTACCTCAACAATTACGTTGCGCCTGTCACTGCCACGCCTCTTATGTACACCCCCCAGCAGTTCCAAGTCCGCCTAGTCTCCACGTACAAAAAGCTCCTGACTGTAAGAAGCTTCTGCCTCCTTGTTGGATTTTTCGAGAGTTCTCGCTCATCTCGGTCTCACCGCTTCTTTGCCAGGATGCGTACAAGCTGGACGCCCGCAAGTTCATCATCGCAGGAGCGGGTCCAATAGGCTGCATTCCATATCAGCTCACGGTCAACTTCCAAAGAAACAGTACCTGTGCTCCCCAACCCAACGAGCTGGTTCTCAACTTCAACAAGGCGCTGAGGCAGACTGTTTTCGATCTCAACGGGCAGTTTCCGGATGCCAAGTTCGTCTATGTCAACACTTATGACACCGTCACCACCGTCATAAAAAACCCGGGGAAATACGGTAGGAGCTTCGCCATGCTTGTGAAGTTTTGAAGCTTCTGAGCTGAATGTTCCTCCCCCTTGCAGGATTTGCAAACAGCGACACGGCCTGCTGTGGCGCTGGTGGCCCGTACAGAGGTCTGATCTCATGCATCCCTTCCGTCTCTGTTTGCTCCAACAGGACGGAACATTTTTTCTGGGATCCATACCATACTTCGGAGGCCGCAAATTACGTGCTTGGAAAAGGAATCCTGGAAGGGGATCAGTCTGTAGTTGAGCCCATAAACGTTCGGCAGCTAGCTCGTTTGTAACTGAGCTCTGCTGGAAACTCCTCTTGCATTCTCAAACTGTACACAATCTGCTAGCAATTCATTTTAATTCTTGAATCATAAGATTACCTCGAATGTTTACTTCTTCTGTACAGACTCCTTCGCTTGTTTTATGAGTTGGTCGACAAAACTGTCTATAGTATTGTACCACTGACCCAAGGCCTCCTCTAATCGGGCCTTACCCTTCTCATTTGTCAGCGCGTTTCCGTCAACAGCGCAACCTGGAATTGCGGAAGTAAAGTCAGTCGTTGCTA